TTTGTAGTCTCTTATCCTATATTGATGTTAAGATAATTTTTCACATATGCTGATTGTCTTCCATGTTGCTACTCAAGAACAGTGCTGTTTTGAACCAAAACACAAAGCTCCTTTTGTCCTTTGAGGCCTTCACCAATCAACATTCCACCCCTGCATTAGTCTTATTCCTCATTCTCTGGCAAAGCGGATCTCACTGCCTGTTCTCACTTCCTTTGTACTTTGTAGTTCTCTTAACTGAATGACGTCTCTTTCCTTCTCTCCACTCTATTTTCTCTTCCTATTGAAGATACAATTCATATTACTTGAATTAGGGCTCTAACTTTGTCTTTCAATATTTATTTTTCTCTGTGATCACTGTATTGGATTGCTCTAACTTGTATGTTTCTTTCCAAATATTAATTCAACTTGATACAATGTATATCACCAGATCTTTTCTATATCCTCTTAATGATGATCCTTTACTCTCTACTACCTATGATAAGATGCCGCTTATGGTCAACTTGCTTAAAAGTAGGTAAAATGGATACTAAAACTCAAGTGTCCACATTTGCAGTCACTGGTAACCCTGGTTTAGGTTTTTGGGAGAAAGTATGGAAACTACTATCTAATAATGGTTTGGATATTCATACCTAGTCGTCCATGCCAACTGTTTTTTGATGCTGTGCCATTCGTTACCATATGGGGCACTACTCCTTATTGTGCCTTTATCTTTCAAGACACAATTTATTATTCAATATGAAGCAGTGAAATCAGTGTGTGCTCATGTGTGTATACACGTATCTTTGCTTTAACATGGACCTAAACCTAAAGGAAATTCCATGAAGGCTGTAAACAGATTTTAAAAATTACCCCAACTTTGACCATTATTTTCATGGCTCCCTGAAATAAAATAGAGTCCATTTGCTCTTAATATTTGTATGATTTAGTGATATCCCATAGAATAATTCCATTTCAAAAAGGCAGTGAACAATAGATGTGGTAGAAGGCCCTGAAGGGAAGAAATGGGTTAGAGAGAATCAGTAAAACTAAAAATATGCACCATCAGACTTCCAAAGCAAAGCCAGCTATAATGGAGCAGAAAGCATCACGGGAAATCTCTTATTTCGTTCTGGCACTGGGGACAAAGATTTTACTTTTTAATTTCTTGGAGACAAATTGACTTTGTCAACACAGCATCTTTATTTTTACCACATCATTTAAAAATATATTTACAGTTTTAAAAGAAAATCTTTAGCTAAATTAAATTTAGCAGAGTTTATTTGAGGAAAGAATAATTCGTGTATTGGGCAGCCCTCAGAACCAGGAGAGTTTCAGAGTACTCACATCGGCAGGCACTATTACATGGGAAAAGGAAATGACATGCAGAAACAGTTCGATTGGTTACAGCTCAGCATTTGCCTGATATAGACATGCTCTGATTGGTTGGCAGTCTGTGATTGGCCAAAGCTCAGCTGCTGTGATTGGCTGGGGCTCAGCCACTTGTTTTAAGAATATGTTCTTAAGTTAGTCTGAAGTTTGTTCTGTACAGAGGCTGCTTTAGGCTGAATTTAGTTTAATTTAACAAGAGTTCTATTATCAATACCAATCTGTAGATTATTATAATTAATCTATATCTGTCCACTACCCCTTCTGTGAATTGGAAAATCTAAAAATCTGTGGAAACTGTTTTTATAATCCTGGGGTGACAGAATATATTACCAGACCTTAATGAATTTGGTGATGAAACCAAACTGACAAAATTATTTAGTTTTTATTTATCCCACTAGTGGCAAATATGTATATATTTTGCTGCTCAATGTTTGACTACAGAGGGAAGCTCTAGATCACTTTCACATGTGATATAATGTACTATTAGGATACTATTATCTGACTAAAATTCAAAATTTTCTGAAATTGGAAACCTATCTGGCACTGATGATTTGGATTAGTAATTGTGGATCTGAGCTCATTTTCTCCTTTGATTTTTATCAAGGAGAAATTTTAAATTATGTTCTACAATCTTGAAAATGTTTCTTTAGTACCTTGAAGTTTCTGAATGTCTATCATGAAGGAAGTAGCTGAGTCAGGTTTTAACAAACAAAGAAGAACTCTGGGTACAAATTATACAAAGGGACTGAAAATAATTTAAAACATGATAAAATATCAAGGAGCACAATTCAGAACTCAAGAATGTGAAGAGTTTTATGTATTTTGTTCTTCAACTACCTTAAGTATGTGCTGAATGAGTATATGTACATGCAATATATACACACATATACATATAAAATGTACACATGTAAATATTTTATCAGTCTAATGACAGACTTAGAAATCAGAATTGGAGTTGCTGAATGTGTATGCATATGTCTCATGCCTTATTCTCACAATAGATTACAGTAGTAGTTCAAAAGCTGATGCTTAAATCCAATGTGGCGCCTCTGATGAAAAAAAAGATGCTTATTATAGATGTAAATATACATATACACATAATCTCTACCCACTAGATTATTGGCCATCAAATATTTTTCCTATGTACTTGTAGAAAATTAGTATTTTTCAGTATTTTATCCATTAGAGTTGCTGGAGTATTGGTTCTCTATGTATGCTGCCAACTTCCTGGGAGGATAGTTTTTGGGTGGTTGCTGTTTACCTGAGTAATTCAGAAGGCATCTGAGTTGTGCGCAAAGCACTCTGTTGGGAGTAGAGTGAGTTAGGCACAAGTCCTCTGTTTATGCTTTGCTCTGACTCCCAGGAAGCTCCACCTGCCCTCTTTGTTTACTTATTTATTTATGTATTTTGAGACGGAGTCTTGCACTGTCACCCGGGGCTAGAGTGGAATAGTATGATGTTGGCTCACTGCAACCTCTACCTCCCAGGCTCAAGCAATTCTCCTGCCTAAGCCTCCTGGGTTGCTGGGATTACAGGTGCCTGCCATAATGCCCAGCTAATTTTTTGTATTTTTAGTAGAGATGGGGTTTCACTATGTTAGCCAGGCTGGTCTCGAACTCCTGACCCTGTGACCTGCCCACCTCGGCCTCCCAAAGTGTGGGATTACAGGCATGAACCACTGCACCCGGCCTCCACCTGCCCTCTTTAAGGTGAAAGTCTAGCTTATCACTGTTACAAATAGGGCAGGGCATGGGATTTGGACAATCTGCATTTACTGAGGGTCCACCTGCCAAAATCTGAAGAAGACACTGAGAGCTGTTACAATGTTACTAGCAGGCAGAAAAGTCTTTCTCTGCAAGAACTCAAAATATAAGCAGAAAACAGGGTAACCACATAATAAAGGAATTATCTAAGGTATATTAATAAAAGGGCATTGATAGTGTTATTAATATGCATTATGAATGTCAAATTCAATAACATATTCAGATGAAAACTATGAAGGCCTGGACTTGCTGAAGGCATGGTTTTCACCTTTGCTTTTGGTATGCAGGTAGGTATTGCAAAATGTGCTATTTATAGAGATTAAGAAGATGCTGTAATGGAAAAAGGATTACAGTGTACAGCAAAGTTCCCATCTAAACTTGGTGCCACAGCAGAGGAATTAATCAACAAAGTGAAGACACCAATCCGCAGAATGGGAAAAAGTTATTCACCAACTACCCATCTGACAAGGGATTAATAACCAGGATATATAAGGAACTCAAACAACTCTATAGAAAAAAAATTTAATAATATGATTTTAAAATGGTCAAAATCTCTGAATAGACATTTCTCAGAAGAAGACATACAAATGGGAAACAGGTATATGAGAAGGTGCCCAGCATCATGATCATCAGAGAAATGCAAATCAAACTACAAAGAAATATCACCTCACCCCAGTTAAAATGGTTTTTATCCAAAAACAGGCAATAACAAATGCTGGTTATTTGTTATTGGAGAAAAGGAAACCCTCATACACTGTTAGTGGGAATGTAAATTAGTACAGCCACTATGGAGAACAGTTTGGAGGTTCCTCAAAGGAGCACAGATAGGACTCCATATGATCCAACAACCCCACTGCTGGGTATACATCCCAAAGAATGAAATCGGTCTATTGAAGAGGTATCTGCATGCCCATGTATATTGTAGCATGTTTCACAATATCCAAAATTAAGAAACAACCTAAGTGTCCATCAACAGGCAAGTGGATAAATAACTGTGGTACAGGTATAGAATAGAGTACTATTCAGCCGAAGGAAAGAATGAGATCCTGTCATGTGCAACAATATGGATGGAACTGGAAGTCTTTATGTTAAGTGAAATAAGCCAGGCACAGAACGACAAACTTCATATGTTCTCACCTATTTGTGGCAGCTAAAAATTAAAGCAATGGAACTGATGGAGATGGAAAGTAGAAGAATGGTTACCAGAGGCTGAGAAGGGTAGTGGGAGGGTAGGGGGAGAGTGGGGATAGTTAATGCATACAAAAAAGAGTTAGAAAGAATGTATGTGATCTAGTATTTGATAGCACAACAGAGTGACTATAGTCAATAACAATTTAATTTTCCAATTAAAAATAACTAAAAGGATGTAATTGAATTGTTTGTAACACAAAGAATAAATGCTTGAAGTGATGGAAACCCCACTTATCTTGATGTGATCATTACATTATTATATTGCCTATATCAAAATATCTCATATACCCCATAAATATATGCACCTACTATGTAATCACAGCAATTAAAAATTAAAATAAAAGTAATAATAGAGTGGGTGCCGGTAAAAAGATGAGAGAATGAATTGTAAATGGAGCATTAGTTCTGAAGCCTCAGGGCACAGAGAGACATAGAGCTCCAATATTGCCTCCTGTCAGTTATTGAAAACATTCCACCGACTGTATTGTGGCCATTATTTTAGAGTATGGGAACCCTTTTTTTCTTAACAAAAAGTCAGAATTTTTCCATTTCTTAGCCATGATGTGAAGGGAACTGATGATTTCTTTCTCCAAACTCTGTGGACCTTGTGAGTGAAACAGAGAGGGCAGACCATGCTTCAACATGAATGCAGCAGCTTCCTTTGGTCAAGACCTAACAGAAAACCCATGTTTCTAATTTAAGCATGAGACAGTAATTACTCATACAGCCAGAGAGGATTCCAAGTCCCTGCCTATTTGCAGCACTATCTAAAAACAATCAACTCATCTTTCAAATCTGACCAAACTACAAATGGTATGAGAACTCAGTCGTTTAATAAGGATGTTCATTTTGGCACTCAGCAGCTTACGCATGGCTCACAGATGGCATCTGTCTCGTTTTGCGTAATCCAATCATCCTGCACTACTGCGTCTCACACTTAGTCTCCAGGAGTAATTGAAAAGCTCACAGTGACAATTGTGTCTTCTTCCAGATGTCATCGCTATAAGGACTGGGGCTTTCATCACCTCCTTGACGTAGGATGTGTACATGGCTCTCCAGGCCAGAGTTGCTCCAAGCAAGGTAAAGAGAAATTACTTCTTTGCATTGCCTTTCAGTTGCTGCCTAGCACTGGTGTAAATGAATACGTTCTATAAATGGCCTCTCTGTCAGTGGGCAACTTGTTTCACTTTTGGCTGGGTACCATACTGAAAACATTCTGCTGCACGGCTTGAATCTTGTGGTAATTGGGCAATATAAAGGCATCCATGCCCAAGAAAGGATTCTAAAACATGTAAATAGTGGCTGTTTAGAAGGCACCATTTATTTAGAGGTAAGCTCTCTGCTATTAACACCTGCACGTCTGCTATCGTTTTCTGAAATCATGACAGTTTGTTCTCAATCATTTTTTTTTCCGGGGGGTGGCTTTTATTTTCATAACTTCTAAAGGGTGTGCAAAATTTTAAAGGCAAAGTATTGAAATGTTTCAAGCTGTAAGTTTGTTAGTTTCTTTTTCCCCTGAGGCTAGTGTTAATAGTTGTGTTTTACTTCAGTGTAAAAATATCCCTTTAAAAAAAAAATCAAAGATTCTGAAACAAGGAAATATGCAAAGCCTCAAAGCAGCTGTGTAAATTCACACAGGCTTTGGGCCTGTAATGAGCCAGCCTTAAGGGAATGATACTGGAAAATCAGATTTTTACTTAAAAATTAAATTACAATTATGAATGAGTGCTACATTCATTTTAGTAAAATATCAGCACCGTGTGTATTTCCTCAAGCTTTCTCTGCACACTGCCATCATCATCACGTATGTCATCAGTAAGAAATGCTGAGCATGAAAACAGCTGAGAAAAATTTTCAAGGTCAGTAAAAACATTATTTCAGGAAATACATTTTTAAAAAACGTATTTTTAAGGGGTTTTTAAACTGTTGATAATTTATGCATAGATTTGGGATTAAACTAGCATGAATAACTTCTGCTGAAGAGATAAAAATTAAAAGATAAAATTGTTTCTCTTAAGTAGCTTACACAAAGAATAAGGACTCTATATTTAGTCGGGGCTTACACACGCACACACACACGCACACACACACACACACACGCACACACACACATTCATTGCAGGAAAAATATCCAGATAGTTGCTGCAGTTCCTCACTATCTTAGAATCATCTGAGCTTCATGTGCAGAATTACAGCCTTAGAATTTTAGAAGAATAGTGAATATGTTCGAAATAGGTTGTTGACTATCTGAATTCTCATGATACATCCCGTCAAGTTGTGAGTTAACTTTTCTTTTAAGTGCGTCTTCACTGTCAATGTTATCAGCACAAAAATTACTGATCTGCTCATAAATTAATAGTAATAGCAAAAGTGACCTTCATGTAGAGATAACTCAAATATTCAACAAACATTTACTGAGTGCATGCCGTGTGCCAGGCATTGGGCTAATTAAATCCCCCCATCTCTATACTTTAAATGAGAGAAAAGCTGACTCACAGCAAAGAGTCATGGCCAAAGGCCATTTAATTAATTTGCTGTCTGGGAAAATAGCACAAGAACTGGGAAGAAAGCCCAAGTATGAGGACTGCTAAATTGTTCAGAATACAATGTGTTCTACTCCAGTAAACTACATGTTTCCTAACTATGTTCAACCAATGTAAACTTTCCTCTGTAAAACAAATGTAAAAATCTCAGAAGCACAACACATTCCTGCATATCCTCAGAGTTTTTCACCTGAACGGGAGGGTTTCATACATACAGTCGATTTCAAAGGGAACTGCTTATTAGTAGGATGGATCCTTTGCTGTGATTCTGCAAGTGAGAGAGTCATACCTCATGATTTCTCTGGGAATTGTCCAAAAATCTACAATGCAGTCTTTCTCATGGGGAAAAGTAGGAAAGTATTATCTATTGAGCACACACAGTACCTAATATTAAGAATTTTATACATGTTCAGAATTCAAATCCCTTATGAAACTTTATCTGTAGATGAGTAGAACCAAACTCAGAAAGTACCCAGCCAATGTCACACACTTGCCAGTGATGAACTGGGAGAGAAACCCCGTGTATCTGACCTTCAGTCCACATACTTACTTTATTAACAGACTGTGGTTCTGGCTGGGCGCGGTGGCTCATGTCTGTAATCCCAATGCTTTGGAAGGCTGAGGCAGACAGATCATTTTAGGTCAGGAGTTTGAGACCAGCCTGGTCAACATGGTGAAACCTCATCTCTACTAAAATTATAAAAATTAGTTGATGTGATGGTGCACTGCTGTAGTCCCAGCTCCTCGGGAGGCTGAGGCAGCAGAACCCCTTGAAGCTGGAGGTGGAGGTTGCAGTGAGCTGAGATCGTGTTACTGCACTCCAGCCTGAGTGATAGAAAAAGACTCTGTCTTTAAAAAAAAAAAAAAAAGACTATGGTTCCTGTTATAGTGGTCTTCCGTTATTTCTTTCCTTCCTTCCATTATTATCATTATTATTATTCAAAATATATTTATTGAATACCTACCAAAGCCTGACCAATATTTTGGGGGCTGTGAATTAAATGTGATCAAATCAATGACTGGGTTTTAGAGGGTGGAGAAATGAATACCTCCCAAAATAAGTATGCTACAATACAAATGTGATCAGAGCTATAAGTCACATATAATATTATGGAAGCAGTAAACTAAAATAGACATTGATTCTGTCTTGTAGTGAGCGGGGGAGGTGAGATGATAGTGAGCCAGACCTTGAGAATATAGCTACTTGCTCTGTAAAGAAGGGTGAAGCTATTGTAGGCAATGGGAACATTCTGCTTTGCAACATCACCTAAGGGCTTCCAGTTTTCATAGAATAAATGGAGAAGGCTATTATGGAAGGACTAGGCCTAGATTTCACAGAGGAATTCTCCTAAATCTTCAAAGATCATATGCTCCTAATGCTATTTAAATCATTTTTTAGTATAGAAAAACAAGAAAAGCCACAAGAAAGTTTTGTGAAACAAGAAATATGTTGACACCTAAGCCATATAAAGATAGTACAAAAAATAAACTATAGACCAATCTCACTTATGAATACAGAAGCGAAAAATTAAATGTATTAGCAAACAGAGCCCAAGAACTCATCATAAAAATAAAACATCATGACCAAGTGACATTTATTCCAAAAATGTAAGGATGGTTCGATGTTAGGTAATCTACTAACATAATTTAGATATTTATAAATCTAAGTATAAAATCATATGATCATCTTCCCTCATCTTCAATCATCTGTGAAGATTGCCTTTGACAAAAATTGGCAACCATTTCTGATTAAAACACTAAAAAAAATATAAGAACTGATGATTTCATCTGATCAGATATATAACTGATATATGTATGTAAACCTATACCTGCACACACACACATTGCAGTCCTAAAGCTGGTATATTACTTAATGGAGAATACTAGAGGCATTTACAGAAGGGCCAAGAACAAGGCAAGAATGTCCACTAACTCCACTATGATCTCAACATATGTCAGGGTTGGGCACAGTGGCTCATACCTGTAATCCCAACATTTTGGGAGGCTGAAGTGAGTGGATCACTTGAGGTCAGGAGTTTCAGACCAGCCTGTCCAACATGGCAAAACCCTGTCTCTACTAGAAATACAAAAAATTAGCTGAGTGTGGTGGCATATGCCTGTAATCCCAGCTACTTGGGAGGCTGAGGCAGGAGAATCGCTTGAACCTGGGAGATGGAGGTTGTGGTGAGCCAAGATCTCACCATTGTACTCCAGCCTTGGTGGCAGAGTGGCACTCCAGCCTTGGTGTCAGAGTGAGACTCCATCTAAAAAAAAAAAAAATAGAGATACTATTCCATTCAATCAGATTGGAATATATTAAAAAAATATGTTAGAGGTACTAATCCATTCAATCAGATTGGAATAAATAAAAGAGCCATGAGAATTAAAATAGAAGTAAAAGTATCTCTGTTTACCATTGATATTGTAGTATATCTGAGAAATCCAAGAGAATCAATGAAAACACTAACACAAACAACTTTAAAAATCAGTAAGGCAATAGACTCTTAAAATACAAAAATCAGAAGCCTTTCTATGCACAAACAATAGCTAGATAATGTAACAGAAGATGAAACTTCAGTTGCATTAGTAGCAAAAAGAGAATTTATTTAATCATAAGCTTAATAGAAAGTGTGTAGAATTTATATGAGGAAAAGTTAATATACTCCTGAAATATACAAAAGTGGACTTGAATAAGTTTGGAAATTTTTCTTGTTTTAGAATAGTACTCGTAAACATCACAAAGCTACGATTTATTCCCATCTTAATAAATTTAGCATAATCTCAATAAAAATAAAAAAGTTGTTTTTATGGAGCTAGTCAAGTAGATTTTGAAGTTTATATGAAAAAATAAAAATAGCTACAAGAATCTCAAAGAAAAGAAAAAATGAGAGGTGACTAGCCTTACTAGATATTTTTATGCAGTTTTATTGAGGAATAAATCAATATAAAAAACATGCACTTATTTAATATATACAAGTTTATATATTTGAACATTCACAAACACTTGTGAAACCATCACCATAGTTAAGATAATAGACATTTTCATCACCTCAACAAGTTTCCTTTTAAACATTATAAAGTCTCCTTGTGCTCCTTTGATGGTTTTGCATGTGTGCATACAAGTGTGGTAAGAACACTTAATGCAAGCTCTATTCTTTTATCAAATACCTTGCCAGATATTAAAACATACTATAAAGCTTCTATAATTAAAATAGTATGGTATTGATTCATGAGTACATAGCTCAATGGTAGTGAATAGAAAGCTCATAAATAGACAAAAGTGTATATGAAAATGTAGTAATGAAAAAGACATTATCCCATTGGAATGTCATAAAGCAAGAAAGTACAAAACAGGTGGGTATATTTAAAAAGAACACAGGTAGTATCTGGTAGGTCCTCAAATTGGTCAAAACTGGGATAATTTTAGCATCAACAGAAATTATGATGTTAATAGATTATGGTACATGGAAAATAAAAAAGATGATAGGTTATCAAAAATAAATGAATAAATACATAAATTAATAGGTAAGTTCAAGGGTAAGAAAGGAAATCTCTTTATGGAAGAATATCTACTAAAATGTAGAATAAAACATAAAATAATAAAACCATCAGTTTACAATACCAACATAAATAACTGATTCAGATGAGATATGTTAACAGATGGCTAAAAAGTTTTGGGGAACAGGATCTTTATATAGTCTCAAGTATCACCCCACAGTTTACTTATTATTTACAAAAGATGAACAGTTCAATGAAAATAGATCTAGTAGATATCACCTTTACCAAGTGATCAAACTGGCCATCACTAATAATGAAAGTCATATTATGCGTCTTTTCATCAGATACAATGGGAAATACACAATATTACCTTTGTAGAATTCTTCCCCAAAGAATCTATTCATGAGAAAACTGACATATTCAGAGTAGGCTACTAAAGAGATATAACAACCAAATGTAACATTTGAAAATATGATTGATTCTAGAATTCTCAGATTTTGAGAATAGAGGAAATCTGAATATAAACTCTACATAAATAACATTTTATATCCATGTAGGATTTATTGTGTGCGGTAATAGTTGTGAATTGTAGGAGAATGTCCCTGTTCCTTCCTGTGAGAATCTTGGAAAATACACTTAAGTTCTTTGGAAATTTTATCTTCACTTTCTGTCATTGATAATCTGTATTACAATGTCACGTTAGCTTGACACATTATACCCAGTCATCTTTAGCAAGGCTGTCTAGAGCAGTGTGCATTTCATTTACCAGAACAAGCTATTCATTTTTTAAAGAAGAAAAATATCTTTGCTAAACTGATAGAACCATAGTGTCTATGAAGTTTTGGTGTGTGTTTCTTTATTGTTAGTGAAGTAAAAGATTATATTTGCTCATTATAATTGGAAATCTGTCTCTTGCCCATTTTGCTCAGGAACCCAGACCTGTGAAGGTCTCATGTGGAAATCCTGCCTGAAGGGAAACACTAGGACAGGCCTAGGTTCCTGTTTGTCATCCAGACCAGTTCCTATATCCTCAGTAGATCTTAGCATTGTAATCACCTGAGAGGTTTGTGAAGATGCAGTTACCAGGATTAACAATAATAACCATTGTGAACCACCTAAAGGACATGTGTTTGGTCAGATATTGAATATAAAGAGTATGGACCATTATGACTGTTCCTAAGAGCCTAGATCTTTATGAAGCCTAGCTCATCTCTTTTCTGTGAGGTAGTTTTGCAATTACTTTGAGCAATTATGGATGTTCCTTGGCTTACAATGGGATTATGTCCCAATAAACCTGTTGTTGAAAAACTGTTAAATTGAACCATCCTAAGTCAGGCACTAGCTGTAATCAGAACCACAAAGCTTACTTTCTGACCAAGATTCAATAAATTTTATATACAGTTGTAACTCTTCCAGTGACTAGCTTTGTGAAAATCACTTAATTTCTCTGGGGCTCTGTTTTCCCATCCATAAAGAGGTGACTATAATCCTAACCCACATGTTTATTTTGATGAGTGAGCTAATCCAGACAAGTGTACATTAAAAAGTCATATAAATGTTGGGTATACTTGCTCGTTCGAATTATTTTCTGCATGATTATTTTGTCTCTTCTCACCTCTTCCTTTTTATTCCCAGGAAGTCTGAAACAGTTTTGGGCAGAATGTCAACACTTGATAACTATCTCCTGATTGGTTACTGTTCTCACTGCACAGCAAAGATCGCTTTTATCTGAGGTGGTGTTCAGTGTGGCCTTGATTCTGACCAATCATAACTGATTCTACTTAAATAACCAGAATGTCTTGTAGGTCCATGCTTCTAATTAATTCTAAAACTATAATGAATCATCCAAGAATTTACATTCTTTAAATACCTACTGTGTGCCAGGAACCACACCAGACACTATACATACATTAGAGAGCCAAATGGACACATCTCTTCCTCCAAGTCTCTTCTTAAATAAAATGAGGTAAGTAGTGCAGAAAAAGTAGACCTATCTTTTAGCAATTACTTTCAGAACCATAAAATGATATGTAGAAGACATCCCACTAGAGTGTTATTAAACGCAACAACCAGAAAAACTCGAGAGCTAAATGAAGAGAGGTGGCTCTCAACTCCAGGAGAGTGGAATGAATACGAGCTTTTCCTTTTTGAATTATGCCCCATCAAGCCAATGTAGAAACTGGCAAGTCAGTCAAGTGAGTTACACTACCGAAGTACTCAGGCTCCACTTAAGCTCTGAATCCTTAGGGATGCCACCTGCACATACTCATATTCTGTTCAGCTTCCAGCCTAGCCCTAGCAAAGAAAGTGTTCATGGTTTCGGGAGATTCTAAAAGCGCAAATTAATGATACTTTCCTCTATCCTTTTTTACGTAGGTATAGTCTTTTCTTAATTTTAATGTATTAAAAATGCGTTATTTTTTAGCGCAGTGGAAAAAAGGTTGGTATCAAAATGTTTGATCAAAAAAGATGACAAGGATGTAAAGATCAGTTGTAGCAGACTGTTTTCTGAAAGCAACTTGTAAAAACATTCATTACATCATAAATGTGCACAATTTGCAGACTGGTGCACATTTATTTCACTTTCTGAATAGGATTGCAAAAAAATGGCAGAAGCTTTTTAATAAAGAAATTGCATTTATAATTATCTGTGTTTGAATATTGTAAATCTTCAGACTAATGAGGGCTTTTTCAGGAGAGAAGAGTGTTAGGGAGCAAACAATAGAGAATAAGAAGTCAGGGAAGCTTCCTGAAGGAAGTGAGGTATCAGTTTAGACCTGAAAAGATGAGTGGGAGTTAGTTTTCCAAAGAGAGGAGCTGTTAATTCTAGACAGGGGGAACAGCATTGAATTTTTCCAGAAATAGGAAGCACTTAAGTATGGCTGGAGCACCAAAGAGGAGAGTGAAGCCAAAGGAAATAACAGGACTCAGGGGTGACCTTCATATATACACAAGATAATGTTGTGAAATGTTCTTGTGTTTTCCTTTTCTACCAGTTCTTCCATTTGGAGGTGATGTTGTGCCGGAGAATTAGATTTGGTGTAGCAGGAATGCAACGAAGAGGAACATTCAATGCTGTGGGTGCTCGTTTGTTTTTTCAGCTTCCAAAATGAGCTCCATCAGGAGGCTGGAAAAGAATCCCAGAGAGAGCTAGAATAGGCTCTGCAGGGATCTACCTCAGGAGCACCAGATCTTGAGGGAGAGAAGAGGGAGATGGTGAGGTGGTGGTGGGGACAGACTGAGACTGGATTGCAAGTTGTGGGGTGCATATGGAGAAGAGCTGGAGAAGGCAGGAGAAGGCTACCTAGAACGGCTTGTGGCTGGCACCAGGGAGCTAAAAGAAAAGTGAGGCACTGAGTGCAGACGCACCCCTCATAGAGCCCTATTAACCTGCTGCTAATGGCGGAAGGTGTGTTTCTCCTGGCCAGTAGGTGTAGCTACCTGCCTCTTCATTGCCCTTGTATAGTCCAGCAGAACCACATGTCCTCTGGTCCCTGGGACTTTGCTGAGTCCATGGACTTTCTCAGTGATCCTCTTCTCTTCATGCCAGCCCCATCTCAATGGGCCAGAGTACCTGTAACTCCCCTGAAACTGTATGTCCTTGACCCCAGAGGAATAAAGAAGGCAAAGTGCCAGCTTCTGAGTTCCAGTGATAAAGATGGATCATACTTCCTGTCTGGTCGTGTTGTTGTGAGGATTAAAGGAGATAAAGTTTGCAAAGTGGCTAGCGTGGCATCTTGCACATACAGGTATTAAGCAAAGGTTACCCCTTACCACAACCTATAGGGATGTTCCTCAACATTGTATTAATCACAGCATACTTTAAAAGTTTGCAAAGATGCTCAATGGTTGAATAAATTTATTGAAAAATATTTAAATTATTACCAAAAATGTATACATATGCACATTTGAATAAAATGGTAATAATGAATCCCATTTACCCCTCATCTAGCTTCAAAATTATCAACTATTCAATCTTGTTTCAGCTTCATTTCCAGCTATTCTCTTACCTTTTTATTTTGAAGCTAACCCAGACTTTACATTATTTCAACTGCAAATATGTCCTCATGCATCTTTAAAGATAAGGACTTCAAAAAAAAACCATACCAATATCTTACCTTAAAAACTTAATAATTTTTTAATATTTATTAAATATCTAGTCAACTTTAAATAGCCAAATGTCTCATAAATGTCATAATTTTTTAAGTTTATTTGATTCAGGATCCAAATATATTTAAAAACATAATAAAAAGTTTGGCAGTAGCTAAATATCTAGACTCCTACAAATTCTGAGTCTCACATATTGGCTTTTCCTAAAGTGCAGCAAGGATATTGTATCATAATGAAATAATACTCCCTCATTTGGATGGCATTACTAAGTGTCTTTGCTTTGTTAATTCAATACAATTATTTTCTTAATCTCAACTTGGCCACTAAATAAAGGTGTGTCCTTGGCTATTCACTCAACTTGTCCAAGTTGCAGTTTTCATACTCTGAAAAAGAGAGTGTTGAACTAGAATTGATTATTCAGGCCTGGTGCAATGACTCACTTATAATCCCAGCAATTTGGGAGGTTAACTCGGGCAGATGACTTTGAGGTCAGGAGTTCAAAACCAGCCTGGCCAACATGGTGAAACCTCATCTCTACTAAAAATAAAAAAAAAAAATTGCTGGGCATGGTGGCAGATGCCTGTAAATCCAGCTACTCAGGAGGCTGAGACAGGAGAATTGCTTGAGCCTGGGAGGCAAAGGTTGCAGTGAGCCACGATCACATACTCTAGCCTAGGTGACAAAGAAAGACTCCGTCTCAAAATAAATAAATAAACTTATTCGGCATGTTTTAATTGTGAACCTCCGGGTGGGAGGCAGGACAGCGCATAGTTGAGAGGAAACATCCAGCAGATCCGGCCTAGAGCCCTACCACATATAGGCCACATGAGCTGGGATTATTTCCTTAATCTCTCTTTGTTTCAGTTTCCAAGTCTGTGAAATGCAAATGAAAAACAACCAAACCCGGAAGATTTTTCCTGTATGCATATAGTGGTGGGGTACAGGGAAGGGTGGATAAAATGAGAAAATATGGGTACAGTGATTGTCACTAGGAATCCTTCAGTAAATAGTCAATATAGTTAGGCTATCAACTGAGGTAGGGGCTGAGGAGATGAGGCTGGAAGACAGGCAGAGGTGAAAATTGTGGCAGCCACATGGCCATTTAGCACTTGACATGAAGCTAGTCTGAACTGAGATTATCTTGTAAATAAACTACCCTTTGTACTTCTAAGACATAGTATGAACAAACAACATAAAATACCTCTATTTCTGATGATTCATTTATGCCAAAATCATAATATGATGGATATATTGTGTTAAATAAATATTGAAATGAATTTTACCCTTTCAAAATTTTTATAAATGTGGCTATTAAAACATTTAAAATTACATATGTGACTTGCATTGTATTTCTGCTGTACAGCACTGGGCTAGATCACTGATTGCTATTCCAATCAATTAGAACTGATCCTGCTCCTCTTATTGCCCATCTAGTCAACAAAATTAGGTTAGAAAATTGGGAAGTAGAGTGACCAGCTCCCTGTCCCTTAACCCCCACAAGCTATCCATTCCATTTTCTTTTTTTTTTCTTTCTTTTTAAAAAATCTTTATTAATACATAATAGTTACACATGTTTATGGGGTCATGTGATATTTTGATAAAAGCATGCAATGTGTCATGATTAAATCTGGGTAACTGGATATCCATCACCTCAAACATTTATCATCTCTTTGTATTGGGAACATTCTAAATCCGTGTTCTTAATAGTTCACGCACCTGTCCTCCTCTCCATTTCCATTGCAAACCTATTTAATTGCCTTACCGACCTAATGGCCCCTCTCTAGTCCATACTGCTTCTTAAATCCTTCGGTTTCCCCAGGGCCTTCAGAGACAGGCAAATTCCTCATTAAGGCATACATTTCCCTTCACATCTGACTTCAACTCCTTAACTCTCTCCTACCAAAACTCCTCTCCATCAAGTTTTACTTCACCCAGGTGTCTGCAAGTGCCTCTTGTGCCTATAGCAACCCCTGCCACTGCCCTAGCTCATAAGGGTTGAGTCTCAACTCCACAATTTATTGTCAAATATTCGGAAAGTTACAAGACCTCTCTGAGCTTCATTTTTCTTCTAAAAAAGGATTCTACCTCTCGGAAGTTTTTTTTTTTTTTTTTTAATTTTTTATTGGATTATAGGTTTTGGGGTACATGAGCAGAGCATGCAAGACAGTTGCGTAGGTACACACATGGCAGTGTGCTTTGCTTTTCTTCTCCCCTTCACCCACATTTGGAATTTCTCCCCAGGCTATCCCTCCCCACCTCCCCCTCCCACTGGCCCTCCCCTTTTCCCCCCAATAGACCCCAGTGTTTAGTACTCCCCTTTCTGTGTCCATGTGTTCTCATTTTTCATCACCCACCTACGAGTGAGAATATGCGGTGTTTCATTTTCTGTTCTTGAGTCAGTTTGCTGAGGATGATGTTCTCCAGATTCATCCACGTCCCTACAAACGACACAAACTCATCATTTCTGATTGCTGCATAATATTCCATGGTGTATATGTGCCACATTTTTCCAATCCAGTCTATTATCAATGGGCATTTGGGTTTTGTAAGGATTAAACGAGGTAATGCGTGTGATGCCTTAACACAAGAAAACCAACAATAAATGTTGTCAAAGATTTTCTGGGGAAATGTTCATGCACCCTTCACACGCATGCGTGCACACACACACACACACACACACACAGACAACCCACCTGTTATCTGCCTCACTTGGGCTTCCACAGACTCTCTGCCCTCCTCACTTATACCTCTTCTCTTTGTATTGTAGCCATTTGTTCACTCATTCTTGCCTCTAGATCGGTAGTTCTCAAAGTGTAGTAATAGGTACAGCTGACCCAGCGTCACCTGAGAACTTGTTATAAACGCAAATTCCTGAGGCCATCCCAGATTTACCAAATCAGAAATTCTGGGACTGGGGCCCTGCAATCTGTGTTTTAACAGGACCTTAATGTGAGTCTGATGCTTGTATTTTGAGGACAACAACTCAACTGCATCTCTATGGCTTGGACCACATCCAGTTTACCTTGCATTGCCACCCTGCCCAGCCACTACTTGTCAAATGAAAAAAATGTATGAATAAATCCTGATAATGATGTGAGGCTGTAAAAGGATGTCAGCCAAGGAAACTCATGGTCTGATTGTTTTTTTGGAAAAGTGTTAAGTTCTTGGCTGGTCACAGTGGCTCACGTCTGTAATCCCAGCACTTTGGGAGGCCAAGACAGGTGAATCCCCTGAGGTCAGGAGTTTGAGACCAGCCTGGCCAACATGGTGAAATCCTGTCCCTACTAAAAATACAAAAAAAAAAAAAAAAAAAAAAATTAGCTGACTGTGGTGGCAGGCGCCTATAATCCTAGTTACTCGGGAGGCTGAGGCAGGAGAATCACTTGAACCTGGGAGCCAGAGGTTGCAGTGAGCCGAGATGGTGCTACTGTACTCCAGCCTGGGCAACAGAGTAAGACTCTGTCTCAAAAAAAAAAAAAAAATTGTTAAGTTCCGTAGGCTCTGTATGATATATAATATATATATATATTTTTTTTCATATAGATTTGAGGAAGAAAATATTAAAAGCAATGAATTTGCTTATGACAAAAGTATTATTTGAAAATCTAGATTTATAATTCAGATAGAAAAATTAATTATTTACAAAAATTATGCCTTCCTTTTCAAAATCATTTAAAAATATATTATTTTGTTATTATATTTATATTTAGTGTTTTATAAATTAATCAGGAAGAGCAAGTGTATCTCTATGTAAAATTTGTCAACAAATATATTGTCTCACAAATTATAATTTAATTAAAGAATATTTACAAATGTCTTACACAGATTTAGTATTTGTAGGTTTTCTGGGTCTGTAGTACAATCCTCATGTTTGGATTAGACAAGCAAAATTTTATAGGAAGTGAATGTACTAAAAAATTAAAATGTCATTTAAATTTTAATATTAACAAAAATAAGAAAAGTTTCATACATTTTTGAAATGTATGAAAATACTAATATAGAGACTATATTACTAATATAGAGACATACTAATACATACTAATATAGAGACATACTAATATAGAAACTATATATTATTTATCTTATTTTGGATAGAAATGGAATAAAGCAATCATCTAGAAATATCTAGAGGCTATTAATACTTAAATTAACAGAAAAACTAATTGATTTAAATACATGGAAGAATAAAGCAAACCCAAAGACACATGACTCTTAAGAAAATTACAGTGCTGAAGGAGCTCCAAGATGCTCCCAATTACATACCCATCTCTCATCAGCAAATTCTCATCCCAGAAGTTGGGGAGGAATTGAGCCAGTTGATGTATGGGCACACTTTTGGGCCTTCAACTCAGGCAATGCCTCCACATTTTCTTTTGACCTTTGAAGACTCTTCTCTACAAAATGAGGGCTTTTATATTGATTCCTTCCAAAAGGAAGACATAGTTTCCTGCCCTGACTCCTTCCTCCCTGCTAGTAGAACTGCAGTTTTTCTTTTATTGAGGAAGTAGGTCCCTGTCCCTGGAAGCTCAGTCATGATGTTCTAAACCTGCCAGGGTAAACCCATTTACTCTTTGCCTGTGATTATTTAGTAAGTGAGCATACAGCCCTGTGGCAGACAATGAGACACTGTCTGTTTGCAGCTTCTAGGAAGGATTTTTATTCTCTGATAAAAGAAAGACAGCTATGGGAAGAAGGTCTCTTTGGCACACATCCTTTTACTCCTTTTTAAAAATTATGTTGTTAGCTATCATGGAACCACAGGCTATGCAGGTTTTAGGGAGAGAATGAAAAGCATGGATGGGAAGAGACAAAGGGTTAAGGAAAGAGAGACTGAGGATCATAAGGGAGAAGAGATTAAGAGACAAGGAATGTGAGAGCCTGAGGGCAAAGTGGGAATGGGAATAAGGGGCAGCTAGTTGAGACTTGGTGAGTGGGGCTGGGGGTGGACATAGGAAAAGACTAGGGGCTGTTGAGGATGGTGTGGGAACAAGGGGTAGGGGAAGATCCTGAAGGTCCCAGAACCTTGGAGTCCTGTTTTCTCATGGCCCTCTTAGGCCTGTCATCCCACCCATTTAAAAATAGTTGGAAGAAGTAGGTTCTTGGTGGATCTGTAAATTCGGTTCATTCAGCCTATTGGTTGTGGTATGCTCTCTGCTAACTGCCTTCTCCTCTTGCCTCTGGCTGTGGGCTCCTTCTGTACCTAGACCAGTGAAAAATGTGGTCAGTTTGGTGAATTGGTCATTCAAAGAAAATTAATAATAATCCTAATGTGTTGGAGTGTGAGCTAAGCAAAAAATGGCTTTAAGATGCTAGCATGAAAGAATAAACTGAATAAATTGAGCATTTCTCATGTGAAATGCTGGAACCTTCATTATATTCATGAGGATATCTCTGAAAAGATTCATAGTGAAGTTTGGCACATTTTTGATTGTTTATTGGCTTTTTAAGTGTTTCTTCATGTGTGTGAATTGCCTATTTATATACTTTGTCCATATTCCTATTGGTTTATCTTTTTCTAACATTTGTACGAGTTTATACATTATAGATATCAATCCTTTGTCTGTGATATATATTGCAAATATTTTCTCCCAACCTATTCCTTGGCATTTAAGCCTTTAATCCGCTTGAAATTTATTGTGGTGTCTGGTACCAGACTGGAATCTAATGGGATTTTTCTGTTTAGAAGTTAGACTTTTCACAGCACCCTTCGTCGAATAATCCATCTGATTCTCATTAATCTGCAGTGCTTCTTTCTTAGGTCTCAGATGTAGAAGAGTCCATTTCAGGGCCATCTATTGTGTTTTAGCAAATTGCTCTGTAAATTCTTGCAGAGATTTAATTATTGTGTTATTATGTGGGTTTTTTGTTAATATTAATTGGAATTTACCTGTTCTCATCTTTTTTATAGCTTGGTGCAAGGTTGGTGCAAAAGCAACTGTGGTTCTTGCCATTATTATTATATTTGGCAAGAATTATATTATCACAGCTGAGGTTTATAACCGTTTTGTCAAGTTAAAATATAAATATGGGTATTCAGGAAGTTTGTTCCAGTGAATGAAGGGTAAGTGATATGGATTTGTATATTGCATTAATCCCTGGTGCAAATGTGTATGATGCTAACCTCTTCAGGAAGCAACACTATTTTCATATGTAGTGTTTTATAAATTTGAGAAAAAGTAAGTGTATCTCTGTGTAAAATTTGTTAACAAATATATTGTCTCACAAATTGTAATTTAATTAAAGAATAGTTCCAAATGTCTTACACAGATTTAGTATTTGTAGGTTTTCTGGGTATGTAGTACAATCCTCATGCTTGGATTATACAAGAAAATTTTATAGTAAGTGAATATGCTAAAAAATTAAAATGTTACTTAAATTTTAATATTAACAGAAATAAGAAAAGTTTCATGGTTGAAAATGCATACTAATATAGAGTTTATACCTTATTCATCTTATTTTGGATCAAAATGAAATAAAGCAATCATGTAGAAATATCTAGAGGCTATTAATGCTCAAATTAAAAGAAAAACTGATTGATTTCAATACATGGTATGAAGAATAAAGCAGACCCAAGACACATGAGTCCTAAGAAAATTATACCGCTGAAGAAGCTCCAAGATGTGCACTTTGAAGTCCTTCCTATCCCCTGGGTCTTTAAGGAATACAAGGCTAGCCGACACTATCTACTAATTATTCATCATCTTTTGTCAAACTAGTTACCAAAGACCATGTGAAAAAACCCAGGCTCTTGGACCTCACGCCTGTTTTCTTCACAGGTTGTTTTGCAGAAGCTTCTTCTATGTGTCATCCTGTTCTACACTGTGTACTATGTGTCCCTGAGCATGGGCTGCATAATGTTTCAGTAAGTAGGATATTGTCTTCAAACAGAATTAAAAAGCTAACATTGACTAGGAAAGGACTTTATATTTAACATTTCACAAGTCTTTATGGATTAGAGGACATGGATTTTTAATGGCATATTTTCTTACTTTTATTTATTTATTATTTTTTGTAGAGACAAGGTCTCACTATGTTGCCTAGGTTGGTCTTGAACTCCTGGCCTCAAGTGATCCTCCTGCCTTGGTCTCCCAAAGTGCTGAGATTACAGGCATGAGCCACTGAATCCAGCCTACTTTCATTACTTAAGTAAAAATAGGCAAATATTCTATCTCTGAAAATGATAAAAATAACAATCATGAAATGAAGTGGCTAGAACCAGTTAGGACCGTTTCTCCTACCTCTTTGGAGGATGTTCATGGAAAGAAAGTGAACCCATTACTCCCTGGTCTGGTATCAGAGCAGGTTTGAACAAGAAAGGAGATTAGAGATCATCCACATCCAATCTAAATAATTTTGGTTATATATTGGAAATCGCTTTTGGGAGTCAGTAGACTCACATTCTGACCCAAGTTCTTAGTAACTTTCTGAATCATCTTAACCAAATCACGGTATATCCTATTTCAATGCTTTCATTTGTTGAATGGAATAATCCAAAAAAAGAGCTATTATGAGGATAAAATGGGATAGTACATGTATTTTAATGGTATCATTTCTATGTAAGTGTAAAACATTATTTTTTCAGGTAAATTTTTGTCTTGCTATGGTTGAATTTTGTCTCTACAGATTTAGGTTGCCAATATATTGGTTGCCTTGAGATACGTTATGTGTATTTACAAATGATTTCCTAGAAATTGAGTGCTTATACAATTCTATTGTGCAAGCAAAGAATTCTATTTCAATATGCAAATTAATACCAATATGCAACTATCAAAATATAATGATACCAATGTTTGCAGTGGAAAGAATGTTATTCAGCATGCTTGGAGGCAAACCCACAGAGGAAGTATCTGGTGCTCACATGCAGTCTTAGCCTCTTCTCTGAAATTGGAGATGGTGAGGCTATGCCTGGGGTAAGGAGAAGGCAAGACCCTATAGGATCCTCTGAGAATGGAATACCAAGGGTTTGTAGTTAACATGAGTCAGAGGTGAGGAATTTGAAGTAATTAGACCTTAAAGCTTCAGGAGGCAACTAACTGGTTGGCCGGGTGCACGCAACTACAAACTTGGGCCTAGTATAAAGTCCAGGTGTATACTTTGTAGACTCAGATTTTAGAACAGGAAGGGAAATGAGAGATTAATCTCTCCGATTTACAGAGAGGAAACTAGAGCTTAGAGAGGTTAGGTGACTTGTCCAAGTTCATGGTTGTAACATCAGGAGGATTAGAACCTGTATGTTGCGTAGGTACACACTGTCTTGCATGCTCTGCTCATGTACCCCAAAACCTATAATCCAATAAAAAATTAAAAAAAAAAAAAAAAAAAAGAACCTGTATGTTGCTGTTTTTAAACCTCCGCTGTCTCCAGGATATTAAGTGCTCCTTCCATGTTTGATGGCAGGAACTACCAAGATTCTAGCTGAGACATCAGATAAAATTAAGCCCACTTGATGAACAATGTAGGACTTAATTGGACAAAGTAGACAATGTGGACAAAATGTTATTTGGCTGTCATCCAAGTCGGCCAGTTTAAAATTTTTTTTCTTTTTAGCTCATTTCCTTTTTTTCTGCTTAGCACATTTTTATATAAATGGTATCAAATAATAGGTGTCATTTTATAACTTTTTCAACATTACATTTCAAAAATATATCCATGATTGGATGTATTTAGCATTTAATTATTTTATCTTAACTGCTATAGTAGCTCACTTAATTTTAAAAAATATGTTACAGCACCATTTTGGTGGGACCTATTTTACATCTGAAGAATTATTGGCTTGGTCCTGAAGTGAGTTTACATTTTGTAACCAGACTGCCTTGTCCCTTGTTACCTTTTCTCCCTCTCACCTTATGATTGAGCTGAAATTTTGCTGTAATTGTTACTACAACTTGTAATCTAGCAAGAAGAGTAAAAGGTTTGAGTCAGAAAAAGATTCTATAGAAATTATTGTCATCATTGCTGATTCCTTCCCATTTCGGCAAGTTTTTAAATGTGCCACAATGTGGGTAAATCGAATGACTTATCCTTGTATGTGAATAGCAATGTGGAAAGCTTTGAAGTGCAGTTATGAACTGCCTCAGCCAGAGTAAACTGTTCTCATTTACAACATCTTTAGGGTGCATGAGTTGGATGTCCTGGCACCATTCGATTTCAAAACAAATCCCTCATGGAGCAACGTATATTACAAAGGTAATTGTTTTAATTTTAAATACTTATCAATTAGTGAACTAAATACCACTAAAATTAATTTTTTAATAAAAAAATTTAAATATCAGGCTTGTCTCACAGTCATCTGTGTATTTTATCTGACTTCAACAATTAATTAGGAAAAGTGCCATCAAAAGTTTTAAAGTTGTTATTCCTTGGAGATTGATTAAGATGGATTATGTGGATAAAAGGAAAAAGAATTCTTATATAAATTTTCATTTCATGGTACAGGGGGTAAATTTTTGTTCGTTAAATATTTTTAAAGAAAAGGAGGAATAGTGACTTAATGTGCTGATGTAGAAAAATATTTGTGAGACATAAAATAGAAAATTAAATACAACAAAAGATTTCATATAGTATAATTTCATTTTTGTGGCATAAAGTAAAATACATGGTTGTCAGTGATAAGAAATCTGGAGAATTATGCAACAAACTGTTATCTCCCATCTGGGATGACAGAGGACTTTCATTTTCTACTTTGTACATTTCTGCTTGGTTTTATTTTTCTTCCCAAAATAGTATAGAACTTGTTGCAGAGGAAAAACAGTAAGAAAGAATATACTAAGGCAGAGTTTCTCTCTCTTAAATTTGGCATTGTTATTGAATAGCTATTAATTAATATGTAATATGTTCACCTTATGTGTGTTAATAATCACACCTAGGTACCTTGAATATACGTAAAACATACTTTTTGGGACTCTTCATGGTGGGTTTGCCCCATTTTTGAAAAGTAAAATTTTAATGTTATTTTCTATTATAAAATAAAACATATTAATTAATGGAAGCTTAAAAATATCTACAAGAAGAAAAATGAAAAATAAATTAATCACATATGTATATCCTATGTACAGTAATTACTCTTAATATTTTGTTAAGTTTTTCCCTATTATTGTTTTTCAATGTACTATCAATTCCTTAGATTGACAGTACATTCTGGGGCATTCTGGGGATCTTCAGAGATCATTACAAAACTACTGGACAATCTTTTGTGGGGACAATTCATTAAAAAACTATTGGACAATCCTTTGGGGGGACAAATACGCAAATATAGAAAAATTGCTAAAGGCCAATGAAAGTTGATTTCTAATGTAATTTGTATAGGAAACTTAGTTAGAGTTACCAAATTCAAATAAAAAGCTTTAGAACAGCCTCCTCAAATGGGTATCCTTGTTTGGTATCATTACTGATTTAATTTTGGGTAGTGAAAAATATGTGAGGACAAGATACTTTGATTCTACGATACAAGAGGTCTAATACTTTATCTTAACTTTCCTTCAGGCACTTCCCTAGTTTTTACCAATACTATCCACCAGTGATTAAAAAAAATAGTCCCAGTAAAGAGATGAGTATGGGCCATGTGTGTGTTTTGGGTAGAGGAAGAGATTTAAAACTCAACGGCCATTATTTAATTCTAGCCTTTGGGTCAGTCAATAAAGAAAGGACAATATCATAGGCTTATTGAAGAAGGCTGTGTTTTTTCATAGCAGAGATTAGTGATGATCTTTTACATAGCAGGGATTAGTGAAGATCCCCAGAACGCCTGGCAGAGTTTACAATCGTCCTTTCCTCTCATGAAACACAAACATTTGTACAAAGATATCAATAAACCCTTGGCCCATTAGATCTTTAATTTTGGGCTTGGGGAGATACATGTCATAACTTTTCAAAGTTGTTTCTCTGAGAATCGATATTTGTCTAATCTCAGAGATATTAATAAAATCTAAGAGTAGTCTCCGAGACTTTGGCATGTATTTATTATGGTCAGGTTTTGTGTAGGTTTCAATAACTTTGTCACCCACGAGATCAGTTTTAGCAAGGACAATGGAAAGTGTGAGTCCAGTTAAAACATTTCAATTAGTGATATCTGTCCTTTGCATTGCAGAGAATAGTTTGCAAGTTTCTTTCATTTTTACTTTAAAACTCCCAACAATTTTTTTGAAATAGATAATACTCCATATTCCAATTTATGGAGAAGAAAACAGACTGATCTAGAAGTTAAAATCCTGCTCAAGTTCTTATAATGTTTTTTAAAAAGAGAGAGAGGGAAAGAGACAGACAGAGATTCACTCTGTGACCCAGGCTGGAGTGCAGTGCAGTGCAGTGACGTGATTATAGCTTGCTGTAACCTCAAACTCCTGCACTCAAGAGATCCCCCCACCTCAGCCTCCTGAGTAGCTAGGACTATGGGGCACACTATTATGCAAGGCTAATTTTTTAAAAATTCCTTTTAGAGACAGGGTCTTGCTATGTTACCCAGGCTGGCCTTGAACTCCCAGCTTCAAGTGATCTTCCCACCTTGGCCTCTCAAAGTACTGGAACTACAGGTGTGAGCCACCATGCCTAGCCAAGGTCTTATGACTCTTAAGCTGTAAAGGCGAGCCTTAAAGCTGGTATCTTGACTTCAAATTTTGTATTACTTCCTTTAAGTCATGCCCTATCATAGACAAAGCATAAGTATTCTCTATTAATGAACATTAATACAGTTTGTGCAAGATTAAAATCAGTACCTCTGAGCAGCTGCAAGTTAACCTATCAAATCTCTAAATGCTGACAAAAGAGGCATCTCTCTTTTCCTACAATAATGTAGTGATTCTGTAAACCAGTGGGGGAGGGAGGAATGAAATGTGATGGAAAGAGATGGTGTCAATATGACACAATAGGACAGTTCTTTCCTTGATATTAGGCAGGACATGCTGAACTGATCTCCACTGGTCAAAGGGATTCCTGTGCAATTGAAAAGGAGTTAGTATGAATTCTGTATTTAACTTTTGAAACCTGTTAAGTTAAATTAAATAGAATTGAAGAGGAATAAGTGTGAGGTCTTTAAAAAGATTGCACCTGGGGCTTGTTTCCTTGGTACCTCGCTTACCAGCTACAATCACTGGCTTGCTGGATAATAAATTACTTCTGCACAGTAGGACATAAGGTGATTATTTTATTTTTTGCTTTGAAAAATATAGAGTTTGTCTACCTAGATGTATTTACTCCTGAATTATCTGAACATGCCACTTATTTCCTGTGCTTTAAAAAGAAAGAAAGGTAATTTTTATGGAAAGTGGTATCATTTACAAAGGGACCTTGGTGGTTTATCACATATATCCGTCTCTTTAAAGTCTGATGGATCTCTCTTTTGAAACGGTGATAGTCTTAAAGATCCATATCAAAGACAAGAGAAAGAAGATTGACCCATCACGTGTTCAGGACTCTTAGAGATTTGTGGTTCTCACCTGTAAATATCCAGCTCTTTATACATGTTCAGGTAAACCACTCTGTCACAACCAGTGTGTTTAGAACAGTGTCTCCATCCAGACTGTCTTCCATCCATGGTTATCAGTTAGGTTTCCCAAGTGACAATTTGAATGGATCGTTTTATTATAAAGATACAAAGGAACTCATTTGCAAGTTAGGCAGCGCTTGGTATCAAACAAATGTTGCAGTTTGATAAACTCTTACATTTGGCTTATTTTTTTTTCATTTCTTAAAATTCAGAATTGTTTTTTCATTAGTTTTAATATATCTTAAAATAAGAATTGCAATCCGATTACAGATTTGCACATATTGGTTACATTATAACATTTCTTTATTATATTTCACCTTCTAAAATGTTAAGTACAAAGAATGTGAAACAGAAATGATATATATTGTTGTTTTCTATACATCTAAGAATTATTAAAAGATAAAATATATTAATAATTTTACCCAGATTTGAGGATTGTTAGGAAATGGAACATTTAAAAAATTCTCACCAAAATTTCTTCTCAGAGTAAGCTTTCCTGGTCTTGTTACTAGTTGTCTTTCAGAATGTGAGTTGCTCTAGTCCCCGATGACTGTATTTCTCCTTTTATTTGCAGTTCTTTTAGTTTCAACAGAAGTCACCTATTTTGTTTGTGGATTGCTTTTTGTTCCGGTTGCGGAAGAATGGGTTTGGGATTATGCTATTTCAGTAACTATTCTTCATGTTGCCATCACTTCAACTGGTAAGCAAAATAAAATAACAGAAACAAGGAGAATGCATTAAATCAGATGTTGGAGCTAAACCACTTCCTGCGTAGAACTTTGTTGTCTGCATATTATTGTATGATAGCAAAATGACAAAAACTGATGATGAAAGGTCTTCATTTCTCCTTCCAGCCTCATTTTTTTCTACCACTTTTCTCAGAGAGGTTTTTTTTTAAAGTTTTAAAAAATGTTTTATTTTGAAATAATTTTTAGAGTTACAGAAAAGTTACAAAAATATAACTGAGATTTCCCATGTACCCTTCACCCAGCTTCCCCTAATATTAACATTTTATATAACCATAGTACAATTGCCAAAACTAATAAAGTAACATTGTTATAATACTATTATTATCGAAACTATAGACTTTATCCTGGTTTTCCCTACATCATTTTTCTTTTTCAAGACCCAATCTAATCAGAACCGAACTGAAATAGAGATATTTCCCTTTCATATTCAACTTGTCACCAACTGGACAAGGTTTGCCCTGTAAGACATATTTTTCCTCCAAAATCCTTCCCTGAGGGCAGAAACTGATCAAAGACTGGGAACTGGGATCCACAGACACCTGTTCAAAAATAGTTATTTTAACACAAATACCAGTTCTTAGACTAAGTGGTTTTTATTTGTACCTGTGATTTTTTGGAGTCAGAAGGAAATAGATGCAAATTCCAGTCCTACCTCCTTCTGGGGGGTTATCTTGGACAAGTCACACCTCTCACTTCAGTTTCCTTCTCTACAAAATGGAGGAACTGTCTGACATGTGTCTAGCATATAATAATTACTCAGTAAATGATTATTTCATCCATTTGTTCACCCATTCACTCAAAATTTGCTCATCCACCATATTTTATTTCTCTGTTACTATACTGCCCTACTTTTTAGAAGTATATCAATCAAAATATAAGTTATTACCACCATGGGGTTATAATTTAAAGTTTATTATTATTTATTACCAACTTAAATCACCGTCATATTTTCAGTGCCCTGATCTCTTGATAGTATAATGTCTCCAACTGAAGAACACGCAATTTCCAAATGAACTGCAACTTCCCAGCTTCACTGCTATTAGAGAAAACCAGTAGATTCATCTTTTAGCATTAATTTCCAGAGACACAAACCGTCCCTCGGTAACTCAAAGAATCACTGGATGCCCCGCCCCCATCACTCTGCTTCTGAAGTGCTGTATTTTACTTTAGGGCTTAATGTTTTCTGCAAGACAGCTACCGATCTTTGTAAAAGGGCTTGGAGTATAGATGGTTCGATCCTCAGGGTTGAGATGAGCTATAGGTTTTAGACCTAGAAAAATTATGAGTTAATGATCTAACACATGGCCCTTAGAAAATGTTAACAAATGACTACAGGACAGAAGTGACTTCAGAGTGAGGTGGTTTGGAATTCCTGAGGGAACTAGGCATTGAGGATTCAGGATGGCCTTAGGATCATCACTTAAAATCAACTTTGGGAGCTGACCTGAGACCCTCACGATCCATAGCATTATTTCTAGGAGGCGTTGTAAAGGTTTGGTGTAACAAATGACCTTTTAGACCAGGACTGAAGTACAATTTGGGGCTACTTGATTTCATGAATATTGATGAACTTTCTCTTTGATGGGTGAATATGATTTGACCAAACAGAAGTATTTCTTCTTGAGTAAAAAATAAAAGGGCATGTTTTGAAACTAAACATTTTTTTCTGTTGCAGTTATGTTGGAATTCCCCTTGACATCACATTGGTGGGCTGCTTTAGGTATATCGGAATTGTTTGTTTAGATTCTCTAATGCGCAGAAATAATGTTAAATAGAATAACTATGGAAATAGATTTTATATTCTCACAGATTTTATAATTATTATCTAAGATAATAATAGCTAAGATAATTTAAAAAAAACTTTTACTGAAGATGGATGCCACTGGTTGTCTCTTTTGGCCCAAATAAACTCTCAGGCCAACCCAGATACCATCCATGGGAGAGATGCTACCATCATAACATGTATTGGAAACAAAAATACATTGGTAAATAGACATATAAGAAGTATAGTGGCCAAGCGAGATGGCTCACACCTGTAATCCCAGGACTTTGGGAGGCTCAGGTGGGCAGATCACTTGAAGTCAGGAGTTTGAGACCAACCTGGCCAACATGGTGAAACCTGTCTCTATTAAAAATACAAAAATTAGCGATAGCATTGTGGTGGGCACCTGTAATCTCGCTACTCAGGAGGCTGAGCCAGGGGAATCACTTAAACCTGGGAGGTGGAGGTTACAGTGAGTCGAGATTGCACCACTGCACTCCAGCCTGGGAGAGACAGCAGAGCAGACTCCGTCTCAAAAAAAAATTGTACAGCATACTCTACCTCTCCTTTTGGCAAAATTTGAATTTATGAAGCAATGACAGATGTTGAGCAATAACGAAGGAGCTGGAGTGAAAGCCGGAAAGACTCTGTATTCTGGCAAAGTCTTCATTAAGCCATACATCTTCTTAGCTTGCCTCTAAGACTCATCTGCACCAGTTTTTTCTCCCTTTCTTCCCCTCTCATTTTTTCATTATAGTAGGAAATAAGACCTGAGTTTCCATGAGGAGGGAAACTAGAGCAGATATAACTTTCTTTAAAAAGTGTTTTAGGGACAAATTTTGGACTTTTAATGGAATCTACATACATACTTCATTATATGCCCACGGGAGCATCACACCTTCCACTGTGAAAACGGGTTGACTGGGTAGATTCAGAAACAGTATGAGTTACAGGTACACAATACAGTTCCTCTTTCCTTCTCTGACATCTCCTGAATCTATTCACAGAGCTTCATGCTGCTCTCACCTCTTATTATGGGACTATATTTCATTTATATTCCTATGTCCCAAGACACAGTTTTGTCTAACTTCTTATTGTTCACAACTTATCTAAATAAACTCTCTAGTAACATTTATGGACCCTCAAAAGGTTGAATTTTTAGAAGGACAAAGAGGTTGAAACCTGATTTATAGATCACTGGAGGGAACTGCCCTCTGTAGATGAATTCAAGTGAAATAGTCAAGGCTCAAGCTATACTTCAATGAAGACAAAATTATGTTTCAGGAAACAACAACAAAAATGAATATGTATTGAAACTAGCAAAGTGTGAAAAGAGCTTCCAAGTAAGGAACTAGGAACATAAGAATATACGAAGGTAAACTAGCCTCCATGCTTTTTATTCCCGTATTCATACAAAGAACCTAGAAGTATATCTTAGAGCAGAATTTCTCAGATTGTAAGGTACATAATGCATGCAGATCACCTAAAGATCTTGCAAAAAGGTCATCAGTCTGGGTAAGGCCCAGGTTATGCTGGCACTGCTGGTCTAGAGACCATACTTGGAGCAACAATAGCACAGACATTGTTCTGAGCCTTTTTATTCTCTTGCGCAACCCCTAAGTTGAAACAAAGTCAATAAATTTTATGCCTCTATAGTATTTTCAAGCTCTTAGCAATTGAGTTCTTCAAAGTTTCTAACTTTAATCTCTCCTCTTGTTTTTTAAAATTATCATTTTCTAGAATTGAAGTAGCCAACCACACTTAGCTCAGTCTTAGTTCTAAGAAATCCAGTCTAATTGGATTATGTTTTCTGTGGAACATGGAAATAAAACATTCTGTTTTATGAAACAGAAAATCAAGATAGGAAACAGCAAACATACAGAAAATGAGACTGTTATAGTATAACTTTTACTTACCTTCTTCCTTAATCATATTATGTAACAGTAACTAGAAATTTAGGAGAAAAATGCAACATTATAATATTAACATTTATTTGTGTTAGTAAACTGCCACACAAGCCTGGCATGGTGGCTCATGCCTGTAATCCAAGCTACCTGGGAGGCTGAGGTATGAGGATCTCTTGAGACCAGGAGTTTGAAGCTGCAGTGAGCTATGATGTCACCACTGCACTACAGCCTGGGCAACAGAGTGAGACTCCATCACTAAAAAATAAAAAACAACAAAAAAAAAGTAAATACAAGTAAATGTAAAGCAAAGTTGGATGCTTCTAAACAGATTTCAATATTTGTCAAGTATAAAAACCATTTAGTTCTAAATCTCTTGCATCTGGCTTTCAACTATAAAGGTCATATAATCTTTTTCTAAATCACTCTTAATTGATTTGGCAATAATCTTGTCTAATATCTTCAATCTGTTCTGACAACAGCATGCATACCCAAACATATTCTGGAATTGCCACTCAATTTTAATGAACTACACAATATTAATAGTACTTACCTCTTATTGATTTGCATAATATGAGCCAGGGACATTGCATTTATCTCACTAACCTTTATTACAATCCTGTGAGATAAGTATTATATTCCAATTTAGCAAATGTAATAACCAAAGCTTATAGAATTGGATAATTTAGGAGCATTTTCACAGTCACTAAGGTGTGTCCACTAACTAGCCTTTCCTTCAACATAGATGGCCACCCAGAGATACTTCTGCATAGAATCCTGAGGCTGCTACTGCACAGATGTGATGCTTGCTGCCTCTGGTGGGTATGCACTCTAAAATAAAGAATATACAGGCTTAAGAGCAGAGCTTACAGAAATTGAGAACACCATTTAGGCAGTGTGATGAGTAAAAAGAAATTGAAAAGAAGATAGACTGGGCCGGGCATGGTGGCTCACGCCTGTAATCCCAGCACTTTGGGAGGCCGAGGCAGGCAGTCACCTGAGGTTGGGAGTTCGAGACCAGCCTGACCAACATGAAGAAACCCCATCTCTTTTAAAAATACAAAATTAGCCTGGTGTGGTGGTGCATACCTGTAATCTCAGCTACTCGGGAGGCCGAGGCAGGAGAACCACTTGAACCTGGGAGATGGAGGTTGTGGTAAGCCACAAGAGCAAAACTCCGTCTCAAAAAATAAATAAATAAAAGAAGATAGACTGGTCAGTTAGTGTCACAAGATGTAATAGGGCTTCCCTGTTGCTTTCTAGTTCTGTGACTATTGCTTTCAAGGCACACAAAGGCAAACATACAAGACATGACTTGAGAAGGAACATACAAATGGTCAAAGGAATTGTTTCTAAACTCAACTGGAAAATAGCAAATGCTGCTTAGCCTTCAGAAAAGAAAATTATGGAATGGTTTAATTTTCATTCAAGTATCCAACAAAAATATTTTAAGAGCTAAAATGTCCATAATAAAATATTCAGTCCCCACTGCAGTGCCTGGCACACAGTAGAGCATTAATAAATATTTATTGTATAAGTATGGGGAGAATTAAATGAGATAAAATTAAGGAGCAGAGATTTTCCTGGCATGTAATGAGTATATCTGGGGTCCTGACAGAGAACACACTCCAGTGGACTATCAAGAAAAGCTATTCACTCTTCACCATGGGGGGGGTTCCAAAAGAACATAGGCAATTAACTGCTGTAAATACACACACACACACACACACACACACACACATATATGTTATGTATAATTATATATAGCATTATAAATATATGCGTATTACATATTAGTTATATAATTATGTATTTCTGTATAAAGATGGGGGAAATTATTTTTCTGTGGGTCAGGTAATTAAACCAAAAGACTTCAAAAACTTTTTTGAAAAATAACACGCTGGATATATTTGTGACACCTTCACTTTTCTTCATGTATGGCATTACTGACTTTACGGAAGTAGTACCAGAAGAGTGAAATTATATTTTTTTCTCACAAAGTGAACTGAGTTCGTCAGTCATATATCTAGTAAGGTAATTAACCAAGTGAAAGTGAACTTTTCTAAAGCTTTTTGTTTTGCTTAAGCCAGATGTTGATCACAATATCTAGTCACATTATCTGTTTAGAGTACGAGTGTCATTTAGATTACTTATTGGCTTCTTCACTAGAGTTTAATTCTCCACTTATCTTGCATGTCTGTAAAGTCTTAGATGAGTAATTTTCTCCAGTATTATTTAGCACGTACAGAAAACACATGTAGAAAGTACTGAGGTTTTATTTTGCATGTCTTTCAAAGATGTAAGTTTTTAATACATCAGAGAAGGTACTGAAAGAAATGCTGTAAGCATAAGTGAAATGACTATTTCTCTCCAAAAACAGAAACTTATAACTTTTGGATTTTATTTGTAATACCACAGAATTTACTGTGCCTTAGCCAGCTCAGGCACATGGCATATGCCACCTTGATGCCAAGAAGAGTCAAGTTAAGCATAATGGAATGGCCAATTCGATTTCCTAAGAGTTGGATGACTATTTTGGTTCAAAAACTATGGTTGAATTACTTAGAAGACAGTTGCTGCAGCTGGGCGTGGTGGCTCACACCAGTAATTCCAGCACTTTAGGAGGCCTAGGCAGGTGGATCACTTGAGGTCAGGAGTTTGAGACCAGCCTGGCCAACATGGTGAAAGCCGTTTCTACTGAAAATACAGAAATTAGTCAGGCATGGTGGCATGCATGTGTAATCCTAGCTACTCAGGAGGCTGAGGCAGGAGAATCACTTGAACCCAGGAGGTGGAGGTTGCAATGAGCTGAGATCATGCCACTGCACTCCAGCCTGGGTAACACAGCAAAACTCCATCTTAAAAAAAAAAAAAAAAAAACTTCAGGGTAACATTTGAGCTAGGCTTCTTATTTTTTTCTTTGAGTGAAAAAATTTAAATGTAAGAGAACAGTGGCTACACGCTTGGGAAATTCTATCTCATGGTCTCACACTGGACATGTGTCTTTGTGTGAGGAAGTTGTGCAGACCTGTCAGAGTTCTTAACTCAGGAAAGTTTACCTTTTATGAGAGATATGCTATTACTGCCACAAAGAGAACAGCAGATTTATGAAAACTGTGTAAGACCAGATCAATATTTTACAACAAACAAGAATCACTGGGTCAATGAAATCAGAACCAAAGACATTTTCATAAAACCAAATAGTTTAGAATCTCAGGTAGGTGAGATTCTGGTTTTTAAAATATATTTTCTATACTTAAAATATTTCCTGAGTTGGTGGGCATGCTTTCCTTTTATAATTAGAGGGAAGCACTTCAGAAAAGCAATATATTTTAAACAACCACAAAACAAACAAATGGCAGATTGAAGAGCTAAAAGAATTGAGAATCATGAATTCCTTGGCATATGCTTTGACTCCATTGCCTTTGATTTCTGAGTTTTAAGAATTCCTTACTATCATTTGACAGAACCTTGCACCTATTCCCCAAAGGAAGTTTTAAATTGCAACAATTTGCCATCCTCAGACTATATACCTACCCTCTCTTAGCTGAATCTATAAACTATTCCATTTCAAATGCTATGTCAGTTTCAGAAACATTATTTTAGTCATGACAATTGTTCTTATTCATAATCTCACCAATGAATTATTCATTACTGATAGTTAACCAACTATCCCTTTCATTTACTTGCAGGATCCGGCTTAATTTCAATGATATGTGGAGGCCAGACTTTAGCATACTGTTTGTTCAAAGACAACTTTATCTATCCAGATCTGGATAATTTTTAACAGAACAGTTGAATTAATTTGCCTTAGAATGTCTGCATTATTACATACGTTGTGTCAGAGCCAAATTTTATTTTTTGTTCAAACTTACATTCAAGGTTAAATATATTCAGTATAAAAAGAAGTTAATGGAGTGCAGAACAACTCAAGTAAAAAACTTCATAAGCAAAATGTTGAAACTCTTAACATGTAGTGTTTCCCAAAGTGTGTTCCAGAAAATGCTGGTTCTAGAAGATGTAATTGCTGTGCAAAGGAGAAACAGTTTCGTGTTTATATGCAGAATCCTGGGTTTAAGTAAAACACTTATTTCAGGACTTCTCTGAATGTGTATTTATTTTTGAGACAGAATCTCACTTTGTTGCCCAGGCTGGAGTGCAGTGGCAATAATCAAAGCTCACTGCAACCTCCGACTCCCGGGCCCAAACAATCTTCCTGCCTCAGCCTCTTGAGTAACCAGGACAACAGGCACCTGCCACTACACCTGGCTAAAATCTTTAACATACTATTATGAACAAGCCATCTCTAAGCTACAGTGTACATTATGTATTTGACCAGGGACACACTTTCGAAGCTGCTGATATATCCTGTGGAAAGTATAATGTACTAAGAGGGCAGATTCAAACCTAATGTGAATCCCTGCAACCAGAATTACATTCTATGATTAGCCTCTGGTATTTGTTCTCTTTTAGAGCATTTCTTATGAAATTATTTCCTTTTTTTAGACTGTGGTCTTCAAACACAGTGCTTTTCAAAATTTAATGTGCATTTGATTTATCTGAGGATCTTGTTAACAATTCAGATTTTGGTTCAGAGGGCAGGAATGGGGCCTAAGATTCTGAATTTCTAGGGACCTAGGATTCTGAATTTCTAGCAAGTCCCAAGAAATGCCAGTGCTTGGGCCATACTATGAGTAGCAAGGGTCTAAGCAATTGGGATTGTATTTTTTTAAGTTGGCATAGTTCTGTATCACCAGTCCTCTATTTAAAAAATAAAATTATTATTCCATAAATGCCTGTTGAATGACGTAAACTGAGGTGAGCTAAGTTTTTATAACTGTGTTAAATATTTACCATATTCTAATGTAGTTAAAGTATCTCCTGATATAAAATAAGTGCCTACTATGGTAACAACTAAAATGTAAGGATAAGAAAAGGGACAGGAAAGTAACACTCCCTCAAACACACACCTACACGAATGAGAAACTAAACTAAACCATTGCCAAGATTTTTCTCCTGAGTCTTTTCACCCTAAAAATGCATCTCTTCCACAAAGGCGTTCATTCTCCCAATAAGAAATGTCATGCTGATTTTCTGTATTTTATGTGTCCTTCCAAAAACTGTGATGTATTGATCAGTTGCTAGTTTAGAAAATGTAAACTTACCAGGTACATTTAAGCTTGAAAATATGACACTGCTTCTTTGCTTCTTTCCCACATTACTTATCACATGAACTTTTGTATTCCATCCACTATTCCCATTCTTCCAGTTAATTTCTTCCAAAATGTTTGATCACGGAAGTAACAAAATCTGCAGTTCACCTAATCAGTGAAGGGACTACGAATTCTTATTACTAATGAAGATTTTTCTATCTTTTAAGGAAGGCAGCATGTGATAGCTATGAAAGTGCCAGCAATACGAGCTTTGATTCTCCAATTAAAACCCCCATTGACAGCACACAGGGAAAAGTGCCTTGCCAGAGAGACAATGCAACTCAATTCTGCTCTGTGCAAAGTGCAGACACTGAACAAACCATGAATACACTGATGAGGAAGTGTGCTCCTGTAAAATTCACACCCTTGGAAGAAATTTGCAGAAACACTAAAACCACCTAAGTACATTTGTTAATTAAAAGAGATTTGGTTGATTAAGTACTTTTTAATATAATGAGAATTAAGTTCTACTAGTAAATTAGAATAACAATCTCTCCAGACTCAGAAGACCTTAATATCTTGTCATTCTGTAGTGTTGCTTAATTAGTGTGTTTATTTCTAGGATTAGAAATCCACCTGCTCAGGAAATTACTATTGTGTTACTCCTTCATTTTATTTCTTCTGATCATAGGAATAACCTGTGCTTTTCCTCTTTTACTCAATAAGATGATTACCATTGTCTATTTGATGACATCTCTTGACACAAAAAAATTTAAAATTCAATTAGAACACATATTTTAGCACAAAAATATTGTATATCAAGCATATCAACTAAACATTCACTTTAGTTTTTGTTGCTTTAAATGATAAATAAAACCTTCTCAAAGGTCAAGAGTTATGTTTATTTAACTAACTTTTCTAGTGTCCCATATAAAAGCATAAGGTGGGAGAATCCTACTCAGTATTTTGATGCATATTTTTAGTATTAATATTTTCATATTTTTAAGAAGGACAATACTTTAACGTTATGCATAACTTCTTCACAAATATGCTTTAAAGTTATTATACCATTGTGTTATTTTATATTTAAATCCACTTACATACTGCTTTAGTAACGTTTTACTTAAAAAAATTGTGTCCCACATGAATGAACAGTATCTTTTCTGTTGCTGATAATAATCCCAAATATATATATGAGAACTATTTTCACATTTGCAGTGTAAAGATCAGATTCCTATCTAAAATCTCATGGTTTTTGTTCAACCAATTTACCTTAATAGCTGAACTGATAAATTCTAAAGCTGTTTAGTATCACTAAAGCTACAGAGATTATCCTATAAAATTGTGAACATATATAAGATCATTTTGTTTATGATAAGTATCTTACAGAAGAACAAAAGCACTTCCTAATGTTGTTGCTTTATACACTTTAGAAACATGAGTTGCTAGGTAAGTAAATGCATAACAAAGCATCCATAGATACAGCTTTCGTAAAAATTGTCACAAAAGGAAGAAAATGCAACATGGTTTATATGAAGATAATGTAATTATTCTATAGAAAATTTCAACTTTGTAAAAAGTTATAAAATATGTAACTATTTGGGAATATTTCACATTTTTAATAGAGGGCAATAAAATTACAACTTTTCCATGTATTTTTCCTTACATAGCTGTCTCTTATATTTTCTTTTATTCTATAAATATTTTTGGTTGTTCAGTAACAAGAAGCTCAAATACATCCTAAAAAACAGTTAATTACCACTTGACTTCCTTCTTAGTGAAGAATATTGACCACCACCATTCCCACATACCCAATAATTCAAACACACCCAAAATATTATTTCAACTAATTATTTTAAATGACACCTTTGTAAAAATATCAAATTGTTAATCTAACCAATATTTTAAAAGTTGGTTTAACATTTCATTATTTAAAACTGAGTTTTATTTTATTATGCCTGTGTATTTCTTGTACATTAACACTCTTAGAGAGTGCCACAGTATTATAATCCTTATTGTTTAAAAACAAAAAAATACAAAAAGTCTGAAGAAGAAAACCAAGTTAACTCATAGTCTTACAATTTAGAGTTAAGATAATCTGAGTCAGCATTTGTGTATGTGTGTGTATATGTCAATGTGTGTGTATATGTCAATGTGTGTGTGCATTATTTGAATACTTTGGATTTTACTGCAGTTTTAAATTCTACTTTAAAACTTAATGTTATATTCTAAACATGTTATTTAAAATATTTCAAACAGCTGTACATTTTTCTGTGATGTATTATAATTTATTTAATAGTATTGATGCTTGAATTTTTTGTATTTTTTTCTCACATTAAGTAGATACACCTTAGATAGGTCTTTATTTGCATTCTTGGATATTTTTTTTAAATGAATCACTAGAAGTAGAATTATTAAGTCTATGGTGTGACAATCTTTTATTATTAAAAATATTTCCAAATTGCTTTTCAAATTATTCTCCCCTCAGCAGTTTGAGCATACACACTTTGCTATATCCTTCCAACATTAAGAATGATTATTTTACACTATTTAATATGCATCTAACAATTATATTTTTACGAAAAAAATACCAACTCCAAAGTTGTTGCAAAAAACTGATTTGTGTAATCAAAAGCTAAATTAAGGTGGTTAGTAAGCCAAATCTAATTCAGAAGAATTTAATTTCATTCTACTTCTGGAGTAGCCTTTAACAACAAATATGGATTAAATGCCACTCTGCACAGGATGCCAGTTACCCATCCATCTATGTAGCTATTCATGTAACCAGCCAACAAATATTTATTGAATGCCTCCTACATGTCAGTCAATTTCGCTGGGTCCTGGAATACCATGCTAGTCACTATGGGAAATATAAAAGCAAAGGACACATCTGATTTTTTTTCGCAGTTCCCATCTTTTGGTTCACCTAAGCATATCATGTCTCAAGAGGTGGGGAAAGGAAGACAGAAAGGAGGAAGTTTGCATTGGAACCCTACCCCTATCTCTTATTAACTGTGTGGTCCAGATGAATCTTTTTACCTTACCTTACAAGTGAGTGGCACTTGTTAAATTAAATAACGTTTAGCATGGTCAAGTGTAACAGGTAAAGCAGTGTATCCAGTAATCGTCATATCTGTAACTAACTGCTTTTGGGTAGATGATAGGGCATAAAAGGAGGAGAGATTTAAGCTATTTGAAGGCAGGAACATGGTTTTGTTCAGTGTTATAACCAACTTCTAAAACAGTGTCTGGTACATATCAAGTGCACAATAAATATTTGTTAAAGGAGAAAAAACAAATTCATTTTTCCTTGCTTCAAAGCAGTCAGCTACTTAGTTGCAAACTGGAAGACTCCAGGGAAGTATCAAACAGGGGCACACCTGGGAAGGGACTGATCATTGAACCGATTCAACCAATCAAAAGTCTTTCATGTCCTAAGGACAAGACATGCATAGATTGCCTTGGAGAAAGAAGATATCAAGTAGCAAGGGAGTAAAATGTTTAAACCTAATGTAATTGGACACATTGTACATTCCCAGTACTCCTGTTGAGAGCAGACTCAGCAAAAACAACATCTTTAATTCTCAACTCATTAGTAAGTAAAGCATATTTTACATAAGGTTTTTCGGGGAAGAGGGAGGAAGGGATTGCATTGCACTTGACAAAGCATACTGCTTTAGCCCTTCATTAGACATCCTGGCTCTCTCCTCTAGCTGCTGCTAATTGCCATATCTCTTTTCTCTTCCTTGCCTTCTCTCCACGCAACCTCTAAAAAACACCTGTATGCTCCAAGCCAAGCACATCAGACCACAGCTAACTTATACAGGCAATCGAAGCAAAATCCTTAGCTGACCAAAGAACAACTATCCTTTGTTCTCCAATCTTGTTCCTTCAGAGTATCACTTTGTCCTATCCCAAAGGACCTTCCAAGACAGTCACCTTATCAAAAGATATCAAGTCTCTTCTCAGGGCCAAATTTTGCTGCTGGAATGGAAATATTCTATGTATGTCATAGGACAGTTCTAGCCAATAGCACTTTCTGTGATGATAAAAATGTTCTGTATCTACGCTGTGTTTACACAGTAGCCACTAGCTACATATGGCTATTGAGCTCTTGAAACGTTGTTACTGTGATTGAGGAACTAAATTTTTAATTTAAGTTAATTTAAATTTAAACCAGTGGCTACTGCATTTACCAGTGCAGATCTAGAGGATCTCCTTGTCATTTTACAAGGAAAAGATAGTAGCATCTGCAGATATTAGAATTCCCAATCAGGCTCAGCTTGAGGCTAAGTTTTTAAGGGCAGAAAGATCCACCCTGGAGAAGCATCCGCAGTAATCAACTTCCATAATCAAAACTAGATTAATCTTCCTCTTCTCTGGGCACCCACTGTTTGTGATTGCAGTGGAAAATGAGAAGGAAAAAGATCCATCAGTTACACAGTGACAGAAAAAAATCCAGATGGAGATGCCCCAACTGGACACTGCCTTAGTGCAGGGGCAGAGTCAATTCCATGGCCTGGGGTGGCACGGACACACGAGCACTTGAGCAATCTCAAAGTGGCTTATAAAAAGTCATTGTCTGTCAGTGGAAAACATTTACCAGAAGATAATCAAATGGGCAAAAGCCCAAGTGGGACTAGGAATGAATGCCATTCCAGCTTTCCAGAACTCAGGACACTCCAAAAGGAAAAGTACACAAATCCCAGAGACATGGTGCATAAAGGCTGTGTGTACATTGTGCAGTAATGTACAATTTGTTGGTGTCTTTATTTCCTTTCATATAAAAAAAATGTGGCTGGGCAAGGTGGCTCATGCCTATAATCCCAAAACTTTGGGATGCTGAGGTCGGCAGATCATTTGAGGTCAGGAGTTTGAGACCAGCCTGGCCGACATGGTGAAACCCCATCTCTACTAAAAATACAAAAATGAGCTGAGCTGGGCACGACGGTATGCACTTGCAATCCCAGCTACTCAGGAGCCTGAGTCAGGAGAATCACTTAAATCTGAAAGATGGAAGTTGCAGTGGGCCAAGATCATGCCACTGAACTCCACCCTGGAGGACAGAGCAAGACCCTGTCTCAATAGTGATAATAATAAGTTTAAAAATTAACTTCTACCTTAGAGCTAGGACTGAAAGTTGACTTTCTTTCCTCTTTCATGAATGTTTCATATCAGTGGGTCTTAAATGTGAAAATGTGCTAGCCATGCTTTAGAAACAAACAAGAAACAGTCTCAGAAATACATAATCTTGCAATCCAGCTCCCCTTTCCCTTTCCTTAATAGGGCTCCTGGTTCTCTACTGGAACTAACACCACATGTACAGTCTACATGGAGTATTAAATGGCAGTGTGTTCCAAACCATCAGCATCCACTTGGGTTAATGGCATCAAGACAAAAAGAATAAATGGTAATTAGAGGTAGTGATGCCTACTATGTTATATGACTATTTTTATAGCCACAATGGCTTTCACCATTGAGCATCATTCTATGTCTTGAATGATTTGGGAACATAAAAATAACTTAGGATTCTCAGTAATTCTGAGAATGAATTATGTTTTAAGTGGTCATTTCCAGAAGATACTGTCAAATATATTAAATCCTATAACAGCTACCCCTTGTCCTTCCCCTCAAAATGTTTCATAATCTTTTTAAAATTTGCTGTGCTTTTATTCTCTGAAGATTACAGATTTTCATTTTTATTCAACACTGAAAAAAATTAGTAAATTAAGATTTATACAGGAGTTATCAAGTTAGACTTACAGTTAATTTTCTATCAAATTTAAAGTAGTCAGCAAGTCTCCTAATGAGTGTATCAGTGTACTTTGTTATGAGTCATCAGCAGCTCTTTCTAGGATATTGCTGTCACAAAATGACCAGAATGCAGATAAAATTAAAGGTTGGCATTAGGCAGAAAAATTACTATTTGGTGCCTTCTGAAAAACTTGGAAGTTTTTTTGATAACCATAATATAGGACATTATGGTAAGCACTGAATAAGTACAGCATGCCATTATACATTGTACATTACTCGTTGTACAACTGAGGAATTGAGAGATAAGTATTTGTTTATAGACAGGTACAAAGAACCATGGTGAGGTTTCTGCCCCTACTGTTAGCAACCTTTCACTGTAGAATTGTTCTAATCCTTCAGCTACTGCTCTCACCTACTTTTCCTTCATCCTTGTGTGCCAAGTGTTCAGGCATGATTCTTCCATTCTTCCTTGGAAGGTAGCTGAATGCATGCTTTTGGTCTTGCCAAAGGCCAGGGAGCTTTGTGCTAAAGCTAGCAGCTGATCTTAGTCAGCTGGAAGCTATCACTCACACAACAGAATATCATCACCAGGAGAAGAGCTGGAAGCAAATGCCCCTCAGACAAAAGGTCTCAGGCAAAGATCACAGGAAGATTTCACATAAATCCAATTGCCTCTCATCTCCACAGCTTCACTTTATCTAGAATGTGGGGTCATCCTAGGTGCTGCAGTAGGCAGAGCATCTCTGGATGGCCTTTACCTGCCTCCCTACCTCAGTCCTGTGGAGGGGATGATCAAACTTCCTCTCATTCTTATCACCCCAGGTCCCAACTCTAGGTGTTATCTGGGATTTCCCTGAGGACCTAAAGTGGATAAAGAGCTTTGTATTTTCAAGGAGTCATACAGTTTGGAAGGAAATTAGGGTCTACAGGAGGTAGTGAGATCTCAGATGTGGCCTCCTGGGAAAGGAGTCACTAAGGGGTGTCCCCTTGCCTCTTTCTACTCCAATATCACCCCCATCCCACTTAACGAAGAAGAGCCATCTCAAAAAGCTCTAATGAAAGACTTGGTCTGAACTATGTAATGCAGAGATATGGTCCAAGGAAAACACAAACCCATGAATCAGAGCACAACAGGCACAATTTTTTTTTTTTCATTTTACACAACATAGTTCTTCCCAAAATGACAAATCAACTGAGCAAACATACCTCTATGGAAGATAGCATATTCAAGATATGGAAGAATTTCAACCACAGGGATAAAAAGAAGGCAGCAATTTTAAAACAAATATATATATTCCATATTTTCCCTCAAACAAAATAGGAAACACCATTCCTTCAGTGACAACAGTTGGTAATCATACAAAAGCAAGAGATTTAGAAATCATGGAAATGAAAAATACAGTCATTGCTATAAAAAGCTAAGTAGACAAGATAATTAGTGGTCTAAATATGGCTAAAGAAAAAGATTAATGACTTGAAAAAAGAACTGAGAAACTCAGAATTCACTACAGAAAAAGAGATGGAAAATATGGATAATAAGTTGAAACATGATTGAGAAGCTTCAACACCCATTTAATCAGCATCTACAAGCATATGCCAGTAAAAATAAAGAAGAGAAAACATGTGGCTATAACAGCTGAAGGGTTTCTGAAACTGCAGAGGCATATGTGTTTCCAGGTTAAAGGGTGTACCAAATGTCAAGTCAGATAAATGAAAGAACCCAAACCTCATCAAGACATACAGAAATTGAAGAATAATGATGACAAAGATAAACTCTTAAAAACAACCAGATATAAAAAGTATTTTTTTCTGAATAGTACCTTTTCCTACCCAATGTAGGAAAAGTACCCAAGGTAGGAAAAGGTACTATTCAGAAATCTGGTCAACTTAAGGCAAATATATCAACCAAAAATATCTGGGGACTGACTCTGCTTTCTCCTGACCCTCTGTGTCCCAACCTCCTCATGATTAGGTGAGAATTTGGCCTTGCTGATACTGAATTTGGTTAATAAAACAGAAAGGCTGGTGTTTATAATCATTTCCTTAAAAGAAGGAAATAGACTGTTAGTGTGAAATTGATAGTGAATAACCCAAAATCTCTTAATATAAAAGGGAAGTGGCATTAAAAGAAATTGACCTTTCCAGATCTGTCAAACCCCTAGTTTGTGTGGAAAGTGCTACTGCTAACTAAGAAAAAGAGAAAATGTAAATAAACTATGTTTGGAATGAAATAGCAGATGTAATTCAAATGAAGTAGAGGATTTTAGAGTCATATAAAAATTGAAATCTTGATAAAATGAATAATTTTTTTAACAAAGAGAAGATATAGAAAGTCTAAGTAAATTAATAATTATCAGAGGAGTTTAATTTGGTAGTAAAAATGAGGCATCTTTTTCCTAAAGCACATCTGGTTCAGATTATAAATTGTATGAAATCGTTAAAGACCAGGTAATCTCTATCATAATAGAAGAAGAGAAAAAGTTGTCTAATTAGTTGTCAAGTTTGGCCTAACATTGATACAAAAACTGAACAAATATAAGTGAGAATAAAATAATAGACAATCTAACTTTGAATGATAGATTTAAAAATATAAAAATGAAATATTTTTAAATGAATTCAAACTGTGTACTTTTAAAAATATTAACTCATTATCGTAAACTTTATCCTAAGAATATAAAAAATAGTTTAGCATTTGACAATCTATCAATACAAGTCAACATATATCAGATTAAAGGAGAAAACTGTGATCATTATAAAAATAAGAAAATAATAGACCCCTAAAGATTCAGGTTTTAAAAAAACAAATCTATTTATCTGGTATAAAATCCTAATGCAAACTATATATTTACTGGTCAGACACTGATTTGTAAATAATAGGATCGATAACAAAACAAGTAAAGCTAAACATCCCTTGCCCATGATTCAGTATTTGATTGTAAGTCTTAACCAATTGAATAAGAGATAAAATAACAAATAAGGGCTAATAGGCTATTGTTGAAAGATTATATGATGACATGACATTTAAAATAAAAATAAATAACTGTCTAATTAAAATCAATGAAAGAATATAGGAAAGTTGTGGGAAATAAGATAAACATACAAAATTGAAAAGCATCCCTTTTTAATAGCGAATTAGAAAATATTCCAAACAAATAAAGATCTTACTTAAAATAGCAACAAAATATTAAATTGCCATGAAAAAACTGAGCAATTTTATATAGAAAACTCATTAAACTATGTTGAAATATGTTAAAAAGTCACAGAATAATTGCAGACATCTATAGACTAGGAGATGCAATGTTGTAAAGAAGTCGATTCTGTGTGAATTAATTTCTAAAATCAATATTGTTTCAATGAAAAAAAATCTACCAAACTAATTCCAAAATTGATATTTGAGTAAAAGTCCAAGAATAGCCCTGATAATTTTAAAAGGAGTTCAGGGAAAGGATTTGCTATACCTGATATAACAATTTAGCATTAAGCTATAGTCATTAAAATATTGTGATCTTGGTTTTTTAACAGATACATAGATCAATGGAACAGAATAAAGTATGCACAAACCAAGCAGGTTCTGGAACCCAATGTAAAGACAGTGGTAACATTAAAAATTGGTAGGGAAAATATATATTATTCAATAAATGACTTTCTATAAGGAAAATATAAATTAGGGTTCTGTACATCATAAAAATATTACAAGTAGATTAGGAACATAAACTTTTTAAAAAATTAAGCAATATTTTGTAAGAAGAAGAAAGTTTCAGACCAAAAAGAACAAAGACGTCATAACCAAAGTTCAAAGACAAGGAATATAATGAAAATTTACCTGCAATTTATATAAATACACAAAAGATGATATGACGTAATAGTATCCTGAATATAGAAAGTACTATTGCACATGAATAAGGAAATAGAAACAGCTTAACAGAAAAATGAACAAAGGACACAAAATAGAAATTATATTTAAAAAAGAATTACAGAATGCCAATATGCCTGTGAAGAAAAGCTAATTTTACATAATTATAAAATAATACTTTTTACCAAATGAATTTGGCTGAAATAAAAACTCAGTACAACCAACATGTATTCTTCATTTTACTACGTGGTCAATGGTATGCCAAAGCTCATATAACAATCAGTTTTTACTCCCATTAGAAATATGCAAAAGTGATTGTGTTCCCACATACGGACAATACTTATTTCTCTCCGTTGTTCTGTTAATTGTACTCCATGGAGAATGATTTTGGAGGGCCTACACAAAAGGTTGTACACATCTAATTAAAGTTCTATAGTGACTAGATTTATGATATTGGACTGAAATCATTTGCCGAACTTCTGTGATGGGAAGTTTAGCAGTTGAATATGCAATTAGAATCTTTTTTTTTTTTTTTAAGACGGGGTTTCACCATGTTGGTCAGGCTGGTCTTGAACTCCCGACCTCAGGTGATCCGCCTGCGTTGGCCTCCAGAGTGCTTGGATTACAGGCGTGAGCCACCATGCCCGGCCGCAATTAGAATCTTTAGTTCATTTAAAATTGACTGTGTGTCATGAAGCTGTCTTGTAGCATAGAGTTTTAGTAGAAATTATCCAAACACTACTAAGGCATCTAGTGGCACACCAAATTATATTGCAGATATTTTGGGGACTTGTCAAAAGTTGCTTGAGATTAGGGAATTTCAAGTTGAAATGCAGATTAAACTACTAAATGTCAAGAATGTGAAGAAAAAATGTTCAAACACTGCCAAATTGGTGTATCTTTGGAAAACAGTATCTAGTAACTGGGCTTCTGTGAGATCCTATAACCAGCAAGTCAACTTCTGAATACCCCACAGAAACACCTGCACAAGGACATGTGTACAAAAATATACATTACAGCACTGTTTCTAACAGAGATAAATTAGAGCAACATAAATGTCCACTGATCTAAGTATAGATTTTAAAAACGTATTAATAGATGAAATACTATACAACCCTTAAAAGAAGTTAACAAGAAGTTGTAAGTGAACATGATAGATATCAAAAATGTGTTGGTGAAAAAAATCAAAACACAGTTTTATTGCATTATGGATATTTTTAACGTGCACATAAAAATTACTACATATTAGATATGGGTCATAGATATCTGGCAGGACTGATAGAGTGATGTGCATCAAATTCATGATACCAATGGCTTGGAGTGCAAGGTGAGAATGACTAGAAATGAAGGAGAGAAAGATTAATTTAAGCACTGGGCATGTTGCTTTTAAGCTAACAGTAGAATTTTCAAATGGAAATATCTATTTATGACAGTGGAACATACAACTCCAGGTCTCAGGCAGTCTGTTTTTTATTTTATTTTACTTCATTTTATTTTTTGACAGGGTCTTGCTCTGTCATTCGGGCTGTAGTGCAGTGGTACAATCATGGTTCACTGCAGCCTCAATCTCCTGTGCTAATACCGTAATCCCACCATAGCCTCCCTAGTAGCTGGGACTGCAGGCATGCCACAATTCTTGGCTAATTTTTAAACATGTTTTTGTAAAGACAAAACCTCACTATGTTGCCCAGGCTGGTCTCAAACTCCTGGGCTCAAGTGATCATCCCACCTCAGCCTCCCAAAGTCCTGGACTCAGGCAGCCTATTTTAAAGAACATTCCTAATGTGGCTTGTGAACCTAAAGTTAATGACTGATCAAACAATTATAATAAAAAGACTATTTGTATGTATCTATTATAATTTGAAGATTTAACTAAAGTTATAAACTCACTGAAGATTCTCATCTTCAGTTACAAACACAGCTTCAAAATATTGTGGTACAAGTAAGATGGATTATATATCATAATATAAAAAGTAAACATAGGTGGGATGGGATTCATTTTCTGAAGCTCAGTCAATATTGCATAATTCTTTTGTGCTGTGAGGACAAATGCTCTGTTGACCAATATACTTGATTGTATGAAGTCAGGCTTAAATATACTTCAATTTTTACAGGATACATTTGTATAATAAAGTGATATAAGGATGTTTAAAGACTCAGCTATTTTTTTTAACCACTTAACAAAATCCAAACTAAATCTCATTTGATAAATATATAAAAACTTAATATGTTCATTTTTCTTTTTGTGCTTTTATTAATCTAGTAAATAAGATTGGGCAAGGGGTTCACAGTTCTGGCTTTGTAATTTAGACTGGTAATGTGAGTTCATTTTCATAGTCATGAACTGAGGTTTTTCCTACAAATAAGTCCTGCTAATCACAAGGGGAAGCATCTCTGAAATGCTCAAAATATTTTTGTTGAATTTAGTGAATGAATGAATAAATTATCATTCATAGAAAGCTCTAAGAAACTTAAAACAGTAATGGCACATTTATTTTATATTAATAAAAATATTAATGGTAGTTCACATATATTTTTTGGTATGAAAACTATCAGTGGCATTGTAGATGCTTAGTGGGTGTATATTGAATGAAGAAATGAATGGATACACTGTACTACATTTGTATTCTCACAAAAACTCAGTAAATGATTTTTTGCCTGCTTCCTTACTATCAATGAGATATATCAGATATATATAGCACTGTCTGTTTTATTGTATTAGTTAAGACCTTTGGTTGAAAAATGGCAGAAACTGATTTTAAGAATAAAGGCATTTACTGGCTTCTATGCTTGAAAAGTAAGTCTGCTGGCTTCAGATGAAGCTTAAAACGGTGGCTCAAGATTTGGTTTATGTCTCTCTCCTGTAGGAGCTCAATTTGGAGCAGGTTTCGCCTCTTGTATTTCTTAACCAGTTCCTCATGTTTCTTGTTAGATCCAAAATAAGGGCAAGGATGTGTCCTTCCCCAAA